AGTGCATTTTCTAAAAGTTTTTTGGCAATTTTACTTGTTAACACAACTCGAGGAGGCTCATAATTTTCATCTTCTCTGCATCTCATGCGAGTTTTTATAGTGAGGAATTATATTCTCTATAAATTCTTGTAGCTTTTTTGGATTTCCTTCACAATGCCTAACAGCCCAATGGTTATGAGTGGCAATCGGTTCGGTCTTGTCCACTAGCTGATCACTCTAGGTAAAACCCTCAGACTTCTTACTGCCACTGGAGATATTTTTAAGTGATTTTTTCAGTGCCCTGAGTGCCATAAATCATTCTGATTTGTTGTTTCTTCTGAATCTTTAATAAATTTGTTGATGCTAAGATTTCTGTCATGAGAATGAATCTTGATGGTGACATCTTGCGAGGCGAAATTTTCATAAATAACTTCTGTGCCAATTCTTTCATGTCGTTGAGAAACGGGATCTTGTTGTTTTGTGACATGGACACAATCCAAAACTTTATGACAAGTCTCACCTATGGCCACTACAGATGTATCTTTTACATTTTTTCGCCATCTATGTCTAGCATCCGTTAAAATATTGATGCCATCCAAGTCTTCATAACTCCCGATTTCCTCGTGTAGAGAATCTTGGACGGAATCTTGATATTCGGCCTCCACAGAAGTTTTATATTCACCAAAAAAATGTTTTCTCCTGGCCAAGTTGATGCACGCTAATCCACTTCCATTGGAAAATCTTGTGTAATGAGATGGTAGCATTCCACTACACATGAGACTATGACTTATTCTGTGGTTGACCAGATATTCATCATTGGGCAGATATGGTGATGATGACCAGGAACACCTGTGTATTTTATCCTTGGAGCATTAGAGGCGCAAAGCGATAACATGTCCTTTCATGGTTTTCTTAAAGAATTTCAATTTTCCATTACAGTTCTTGGTATGAGCTTCACAAAGTTCACACATATTTAGAAGTGATGACTCTGCACAAACAAACATTTTCTGATTTACGTCCCTCTTCCTGACTTGAAGATATGTTGATGGAAATTGTGTTTGATCCAGCTCCACACTTTGGTCCTCTGAGTGTTTTTTAACCAAAAGTCCAAAAGTTCCTCGATTATTACAGCATTGTTTACAGGTGAATTGCGCTTAGAAGTGAGAAATGTTTTCACCTCTTGCAGTTTTCCTTGAATTTTAGTTTTAAATTCCCCATCACCAGGAATTTCAAGCCTAAAATTTGGTGGACGTTTCTTTGATGATTCTTCATTTTTTTGCCATGATTTCAAATGCAATATTTTGATGTTTCTGAGAGAAATTGTATTCATATGTATTGGTTATCAGTAACCCAAAACCATCCTTATTCTATGTGAGGCCAAGGGGGAGAGTAATTGATAACAAAAGAGAAATAGACGTGTAACCTCACTATGACATTGTTAGTTTTGAAAATTCCCTTTTTTTAATTTATGTTTTTTTTTTTTCTTTTTTTTTTTTTTTTCTAATCCAAGTTGTTATTTCCAGAAATCAACAGAATTGAAAATATATATTAATATAAATAAAATTCTCCTTTGTTTGGCCCTATTCACAAAATTGCAGTAACTAATAAACCATTCTCTTATCACCTCTTATCACCCATTTAATCATGTGGGGAGGTTGGACATCAATTAGTACCTACACTGCATCAATTACTACCTACACTGTAATCATTGAGAGGCCATTTTCCATTAATGTGTTATTGTATTTTGTAAGCAAAATGGGGGAAAGACAGAGATCAATTTTGGATGTGAATGAAATGCAAATGGAGGCCATAAAACATTTCTTTTTGCATAGTGACTGGGATTTTCGCCCCATTGACACATCACAGGAAGAGAAATTTGGCGGGAACACTTGTGTAAGATCAGAATGTGTAGACAAAGGTGTGCAGACAAATATAGAATTAGATACTGGAGTTATAGAAGCTGAATGCAGTGGCAATAATGATGAAGAAAAATTTGTCATCCTTCAAGACATTAACAGAGATGAATGTCCATTCTGCCTCAATCTGCAAACCCTGCATCACAGACGACAACAAGAGGCAATTATGGTGGGAAGTGGAACCATTCAGACCGCCCCATTCTAGGAATTCAAAATTACGAAAGGAAAAATATAAAAGGTTTTGGACAATGCTCTTACATCGTGGAGTCTGGAGTGATCCCCGATATGCTGAGAAAAAAATGCGAGCTTTGGAACATTATCAGCCAGGACAGGAATGGCACAGACGTGACATTATGCCGACATGTGTAGTGAATACTGTGAGAACATGGCTATCAAATCCAAAAGATGTACAATACATGGGTCACTTGTGGGAATAATTTTTATTTCATAGTTGACAGTCAATCAACATGATCAAATTGATATTTTCTTCTCTTTCTTTCTTTGTTTCTGTTTGTATAGGCTAGGTGTTTTGACTTGATATTTATTTTGTACATATATTGTGAGGATTTTATAACTATTCCAATTTCAATACAGATGTCAAAAATCTAAATCATGGGTTTTATCTTTTGGAGGTTGGATTTATCTAGAGATGAAAGTAAGTCAAACATTGCAGCATTCTGTTCTGCCCGCCATGCCAGCATGTAATGTAGACAACATCCGGTGTAAACAATAACAAACTAAATCACCCACTGCTGTCAGTTTTAAATTTCAAATAGAAACAGAAGCCCTGCTTCAAATATTTCAATGAAAAGTACAGCTAAGAAAAATGTTTACAGTAAATTTAATTTGTGACCAAAGGTGCACATTAACGAGAAGAACAAACATGACAAACATCTGATGATAAAGGGGAATCAGTATTTTAATATTTGTAAATGTCTGCAATCGGAATGTGGCCAGAAAAATCAAATAACACACCATTTATTTCATTGGCTGCTATTTATACTCCGATGTCCTCCTTTAACACTTCCTGTCTCTGATCCTGAAAATCATAATACCTCTGTCTGCGTAAGAAACGACTTTATGTATGGAAATAGAACTTTTAGTCGCCGATCACCGTCAATCACGTCACAAACTTTATTTCTTACAGAGTGCAATCTCGGGGAGATGGTCTTCCTTCAAGCAAGTCATCCTGTAAACTGTCCCTTCCGTCCGAAAATCTTCTGTGCCACTTAAACATTAAAGATCGGCTAACTTTACTATGTTTTCCCGACTATTTAAGGAATTCATGGGTCTCTGTAGGTGTTTTTCAGATGTCTACACAAATTTTATCACTGCTCTCTGCTCCACCTTTTCCGAAAAAATCCCAATTTCGAACAACGACGATCCTGTCTTGATAGATTCTATCCTTGATTTCTCTGCCATTTCGATACTTAGAACATTCAAATTTTGCAAGTTTGAAGCTAAAACTTTTGTAAATGTCAAAATGCGGAATTTTACAAAATACAAATGAAATTTATAAAGTGACAAATAACTTATTAATTAAAACTTTGCCGTTCTCCGGGTCACCATCCCAAGTCTTATAATGAAGTCATAAGTGTAATCAAACGTTTAAATTTGAATAAAATTTTACGTTTATAATTCACATATAGTAAAGGATTGCTATTATAAATATGCCAAAAATAAATATCTATAACACAACTTTAATTTATATTTTAGCTTGTCCACGAACTTTACGGACAATCCTCGTATATTTATATATATTTAGAGAGAGAGAGAGAGCACTGAAAACCAACAACACTGTATATCCTAAGTGTCGGATCTACTAAGTACATGTAAATACAAAGCCACGGATGGAAATTTATATGAAGCACTAAAAATGACCAACGACACGAACAATAAAAATTGTCAAATTTTCGGGACACTGTCCCTTCCTCAGGACAAAGAAAAAAAGTTAAGAAGTCATAAAAACAAAGGAAATAAAGAAACAAAAAACAATTAGCACTTCTATAAAACTACCAAACATAATGTATTTACAATGTTACATGTCTAATTTGAAGTTTATAACCAGTTGTAATGAAAGAAATCCGGACAGCTATGAGATACGTCCGGTCTGTCGGGTGTACTCTGGTGAAGTGAGATCTACATAATTCAACGAATAAAATATTGCTTTTATTAATTACGACTAAGCAGTAAATCGTACACTGTCTTATTCTCTCAATATAGCGTAACTATACATGATAAAAGGAAACTAAAGAAAGATAATATGGAAGGGAAATTGTAGCATATGAATTTGGATGGATTATAAATTTGGAAATATTTAAGGACTCTATTACTATTTTTTTTTTTTAATTTTTATTTTTTTTTTTTTATTTTTTTATTTTTTTTTTTTTTTTTGGATGAAAGAAATAATAAACAAATATGTAAGTAATAAAGCTGTGTGGGTTGTTCCAGAATTGATAATAATGCGAATTAACGGTAACGTTTACACTATATAAAGAGAATGAAACTTGGGATTCTCCGCACTTTTTTCGTCCAGTAGTGTGAGGTTTCTTTTTTGTGCCAGCACCTACTACGACACAGAACCTCTCTTTATACTGTCTCATCCAAAGGACCGGTCTCCTCGTCCCACAGTAGAATGCGAAGCCGCGACGTAAGGATCAACTCCTTACTCCGCGACTCTAGAGCAAGCGCTTTAGCCACAGCGCCACGCCGGCGACTGTGGAAATGTGAAAGAAAAAATTAACATATGATTTTTCAATAACAAAATGTTTTGCATATAAGGGATATTGTTCAGCAAGTTTTGAAATTTGATACATCATGGGAAAATATTGTGATAGGATTTTATATTTTAAAAAAAATGAAAAGCCGTTATTTTTAATAGATTTTATTCAAACAAAAATGCTAAAAAGTATAACAGAAAAGGAAAAATATTTCTCAAGTTTCAAATAAAGAACTAAGGTGTCATTTTATTATTGTAATAAAGAGTATACTACATTTATGAATTCCTTTAGTACTCTGTAAGTAAAGTTTCCTTTAGAAAAATATCTATTATCACATGATAGCAGGTACATATGATCAAGTATATCTTTGGTTCAAAAACAATATTTATTTTTTGCATACATAATTAAACGTGACGTTGCATGGTGAATCGTTCATCCCTTTTAGCGGAATCCAGTAAGTGGCACAATCCTCCCCTCCTGCAGAGTTATTTGGCTGTCCCCTCAACCAATGACTGTAATGTAGTCTCTCAGCATTTGAAACAGATATGAACTTTCCTTCTTGTTGAATATCACTTGCACCAAGCCAAACCTGGTCTCGATAACCTTTACAATGACATTTAATCCCAAATTAATGTTAAGTATCAACTTTAAGATTGCTTTAACTCAAAAGTAACTTTTAATTCAAAATAAATAGTAGAAATACAACTGTAATGATCAGGAGTAATAATGAAAATACTTGTCCATTATACGTATACAAAACAATACTCAGATGATGAAATCAAACAATACTTCCATTATACTTTTCTTTTAGCTCTTTTTAAGCTCAACTAAAAACAGTTGAAAAGTTAATGTATATTTTATTTTATACTTATTGATTTAATTTAAATCATTATTCACAAGTTATATTTGGTAGGACCTGGATATACTCTTGTCTGGAAATATAACAATTTCAAAATCGTTTTTTTTTCTAGTTTCTTGCCCATTACTAAATTCTTCTTGAAGATATTATTTTGACACCCATGGGTAACTTATTCTATTATTAAACTATTTTCTATTATTAAATAAATGTGACCTCAATTTGTGCCGAAAATCATGTGAGCTTAAAAGTTGCGCAGAGCTGTAAATGAAAACTTTGAACAATGCATAAAGTATCCGCCATTTTTAAGATTATACCTCGTAATCGGACCTGGAGATCAAACCATTTCTCTTCCTTTGCATTTTGAAGTTCCATCATTTCTGCGCCCATCAGATAACATGCCGACTATACAATGTAACAAACATTATTCTGTTGTGATCAGTACTTTGCATAGGAATGAAATAACTATATTGTTCAGTAAATAACACGAGTTTGATTTCTATGGATTAATATTACTGTCGGATCTAAGTATAAAAGTATTTCTCTCCATTATCCTTCTGTCTAATTAAAAGTTGAACGTGAACTGCATGAAATGGTTAATGATTTTTTTAAATAAAAATTTCCACAATTAATTTTTTTTTTCATTAAAAATGCTCATAGAAATAGATAAATAGAAAAATTTATTCATTTTATTTGAAATGCTTATAGAAATAGATAATTACATAACTCATATAAATTAATTAATGCTATTCCACTTCGGCTTTAAAGAATCAAAACGTTCTTTTACTCTCAAGAGAATGTATGTGTCCTAATTCTTTCAATATTGATTTTTGGAAGGGTAATTAAACGATCTTAAGATTTCCCTGATTGATATTCAAAGATAGTGAGCAATGAATGATACCTTCTTAGAAAACGTTATGCATGTCATTCAGTATTTTGTCTGACATAATACCAGAACCTGATTTTTTTTTTTTTTACCATTGCATCTTTAAATGTAACTCTGGATGTTGCAAAATAATAACAACTCCTTTTGTAAGGGACCCATCCATTATAGCAGGTTCCTATGGAATCTAAAAAATAAATCAACTCCTATTTATCGATTAATGACAAATTGTACATACGTATGCCGCTCATGATTGTAGTATAACACGCTTCTTATATGCCAATAATTTGAATATATCATTTCTTGCTCATTATTTAATAAAGGGATTATTTTTGGCACACATATGTAAATCTTAGGAATAAAATTGTATGTAAAACATATCTATACATTTCTGAAAAATATTTATCATACATGTTTAATAAGATTTTTATTATATGAAGAACTCTCCTTCGGAAATTCATACAAAAATCATGTGTATATTTATGTATATTTCTTATGTGTATAAGATAAATATGATGATGCATCTCGGAATAAAAAATGACCATTACATTACAAACAGTAACAAGCAAATTCAAAGAATTGTGCCCCACCCTCTTTTTGGTGTCTTGGGAGTTGCGATGCAATTATTTATGGCATATTGTAACTATCTTGTTTCTGTGTCCTTCAAACTTCTAGATCAAGATCAAGAAAGCAGTACAGTTAAGGAGCCCATTCGAAATTTTGGCGATTTTTTGCGACAGAAATATATTCTTTATCAGGATGGCGATTCTTTTCAGTACTTAACTAATATGGGACAAATGTAATGATGGTTATAGACTACATCTTGAGGACGATTTGATTTTTTTTTAAGAGATGTCACATGATGTGTTAGTCACATTATTTTAGCACATATACTTTCATTCTTGAGGTCAATGATAAATTTCAGTAAAGCGAGACATAACCAAGTTAAAATCAAGTTTAGCTGATAAATATTTTCAACACCCTTTGCTTTTGTGAAAAGTGCTGCGATCCTATATAGATTATACTATTTCATTGTTAAAATTATATTTGAATGACTGTTTGCTGAAGTTTCTGCTAGTCAACAATGTAAAACATACGGTCCCAAGTTTGATGCACCAGATGCGCATTTCAAACAACTAATAAGTCATGCATAAAAATATGATTTAAAAAAAATCAGTCGCCTTGAATATATCAAAATCTAATCCCGATAATCTTACCTTTAACAAATAGATTTAATACACTTCTTGTGGTTGTACGGCATTTCATGATGAATTAAATTGTCAATAAACTTAATTAAAGATGTTTTCCTAAAAATCTGTCCTGGTGTGTTCATTTCTTACTCTAACACATCATCACAAGTATTTTAACATATACATACCCGTATGAATTTGACCTGCAATTAAGCAGAAAATCACCAAGATAAGTAAATGCCCAGTTTTGAAATGCATTTTCTTGAAAGTTTTCTTCTCTCCTACGTGAAAATTTTTCATACGATTCATGTATTTATAAGCAACAATAAATTTATACCTCCCAAACTTGACCATCGAATCATATCAGTTATGATTTAATGTTTTAATGACCATCTGTTGTGTAGTTAGCGTGTTATAGCGAATTCCTTAGCGTGCAGATTTCTTTTCACTATAAATATTTGAATTTACAGAAGTTTTCATAAAGTTGGGGTGTTATTTTGTTCAATCTTTTTTAGTATAAAAGGGAAAATCATATTTTTTTGGTAAATAACGTTAATGTAATTCAATACTTAATGATATAACAATATGGAGAGCGGAAATTAAGTTTACATAATGAAATTATATTTGGTTCAACACAAGAACTATTTATGAATAAACCAAACCAATTTACTTGAAATGAACGCCAATGAAACACATTTTTGCCTAAGAAAAAAGTATATTATAACAAAATAACCTCTCATATTGTATTAACTTGATAGAAATTGTCAATAAGTTTTGGCATCATGCTTAAAAGAATAAAAGCATTAAATGCTGAGCTTTCAAACGTCAACCTAGAGATTATCAAGAGACTTTTTTTTATTTTTTTGTAAGTCTGAATGTTTTGAAATTAACTGAGTACACATGCATGAAAAGAGGACATTCATAAACTATTGATTAAAGTTAGTCTATATGTACTTGTTGACCTGTGTATCAAATTTCAATGCAGGCATTATAATGTTTTATACAATATTGTTCGCAAACAAATAAATAAAGAGTAATCTTTCTTATTTTTCGCTCAGATACATGTAATTGATTTTATTCTTCTTAGGAACTGTACAATGTATAATTAATGAGTACGACAGTATAGTTTAGATACAGTGTACTTTCGTTTCAATGTTTTTACACTTCTAGGTTGGCGTGATCACGTAACAGGATTGGTTTTTTTTTCTTCATACATATCACCACAAAAAAGTCAAAAGCAGCTCTTAAAGTCTCCAAAATAAAGCATATACTGAACAAATGGAAAACAAGAGTGGGCAAGTGCTGTCTAGTGGTTCAGAAATTCAATTTATAAATCTAAATATTGAATTTACATTAGATTTGATTTTTTCCTAAATGAATTGATTTAATTTACTGCATGTAAAATAAATTAGCACAACAAATCAACGGTTTAAAGTGGTATACAAATATTTATTAAATGTATATTTCTGCAAAAGGAACTCTCTTATTTTTAACATATTGTACACAATAAATGATAAAAAAATGCAACGAAAACAATTTTGTTTTTATGCAAGAAATGTTTCCACTTTTTATATGGCCATTCTAACCAAAGTTTATATAAAACAGATATTTAAATTCCCCTTCACCTCTATATAAATGTATAGGAGAAGGGGAATTTTAATTATTCAAATAAAGGACTAGGCCCCTCTTCCAGGGGGGGGGGGAGCTTATCAAAGAAGACAGAAATAGGGTGGGGTCATTAAAATATCTTCTTCTCAAACACAACTGCGCCAGAAAAGATAAAACTAATGTGGAAGCTTTCTAAGATAGTGTAGGTTTTAAATTGTTCATATCGTGCCCCCCCTCCCCCTGGGGGGAGTGGGCCACGTCAGGGAATCAAAGTTTTATTTTGAGATATATAGGAAACATCTTTAAAAATCATCTTTTCAAGAGCACAAGGTCAGAAAATATGAAACTTATGTGAAAATTTCCTGAGGTACTCTTCTGTTGTTTCTAAGTTGTGTAAATAATGGATCGCGTGGTAGGGTGGGAACACATTCGGGAATCAAAGATTAATATTGAAATATATAGGAAAAATCTTTGAAAATCTTCTTCTAAAAAACAACAGGACCAGAAAAGGTGGAACTTATGTGGAAGCTTCCTAATGTACAGGGTGTCCCAGAATATATGATGCCATTTCAAGATTCTGTAAAACCTTTTGTAATGATTATTGAATTACAACAAATGCATTATAAATATTGTATATACTGTCCAATTTTAATCACATAATTTGAAAGTCATTAAAAAGAAAACAGCAAAATGAGTCCACTGTGAAAAATGCTATGGTTTTGAAATGATGCACTCTAAATGACGTTTAATGATAATTTCTTGACATTGCACAAAATTTCTTAACTTGAGACAACAGTGCCTGCCTGTGGTAGTAACTTCTGGATTTTTATCAGAGGTAAACCTTTTATATGTATTAAGGATTCTGGTGTGGGTTTAGCAGCAGTAACCTAAGACTGGGATTGATAATTACAGTTTCAAAATGAGGGTAGCTAGCTCTTTTGATAATCCATTTTAATTGAAATTGCAGTTCTTTTTGCAAAAGCTTGATGTAAATGTGTTAAGTTGCAATTTCATGTGTGAGAATTTTTTTTGGAATATTTTGTTGCCAAAAATTTGTACTTATTCAAATATTTTAGAGACATATATCAAGGAAATTGGCCAAGGGATGTGTTTGTGGCAGGTATTTCAAATGGTATCATATAATCTGGGACACCCTGTGTGTTCTAAGTTGTTCAAATCTTGGTCCCCGGGGATAGGAACAATCTTTGATTAATCTTCTAGTCAAGATCACTGGGACTAAAAATTTGAAACATTTGTGAAAACTTACAGAGGAAGTGTTATTCTAAATTTTAAAGAAAACATGCCCCCACGGTGTGTGTGTGTGGGGGGGGGGGGGATAGGTTGGGCCTTAAACGGAATCAAAGTTTGATATTGGAATATATATATATATATATTTGTGTCATTGACGATATAGAGATGAAGTGGGTGGAATGTCGCGAGAGCCTCGAGGCATTCATTTCGTTTGCCAACACCTTTCATCAGTCTATCAAATCTACAGTAGACGTATCTAATTCGAAAACGTATTCCTAGATACTACATCTACCCTGACTGATGGTGAAATCGAGTTCAGTCTCCACACGAAACCCACAGATTCCCATCTGTATCTTATGCCAACTAGCTTTCATCCCCCACACACATTTAAGGGTGTGCCTAAGGGTCTAGCCACCAGAATTCGGCGCATCTGTTCATCCCCTGCCTTATATCAAGAACAAAACGGTCTCCTTAAGTCCCACTTGTGCAAGAGAGGCTACAATGCCCGCACCGTACAAACTGCTATTGATGAGATGGCGGGACATGACAGGCAAAACCTATTATGCTACAAGGAAAAAGACAATAGCGGCAGGGTCCCTCTGGTAGCCACATACCATCCCGTCCTTAAGAACCTCAGCGGTATCCTTCAAAAGAATCTGCCAATTCTCCACTCAAATAAACGAATGGCAGAGGTCTTTAAGGAGCCCCCATTGGCTGCATACAGACGCCCGAAGAACCTAAAGAACATGGTTGTAAGAACCAGATTGGACAATCCATTACCTAACGGGGGCTTTAAAACTTGCTCTGACAGAAGATGTCTTCTCTGTAAGTACAGCTCTGACACAGACAGTTTTAACAGCCCCGTTACAGGCCGCAGCTACAAAATACTAGGGAATTTGTCCTGTCAAACAGACAACTGCATTTATCTCATCAGTTGCAAAGTTTGCTCCAAACAATATGTTGGTGAAACAGGAGATCTCCGCAGGAAAGTCAATAATCACCGTTCTACCATTAGGACCAAAAAACTCAATGAACCCGTTGGGGAACATTTCAACCTTGAATGTCACAAATGGGAGGACATGACAGTAGTGGTTATTGACCATAATCCAAGATGGACAGACGCGCAGAGAAAAGGCAAGGAAAAGTTCTGGATGCACAGGCTGAAGTCATTCCGCTCTAATGGTATTAACAAACTTAATGACTTCACCAGGATGAACGTGAACTAGACCCAATCCCGGATTGTAACAATCAAGTTCATTCTCTCTATATAGTGTAAACTTTACCGTTAATTCGTATTAGCAATCCTGGAACAACCTACCCAAATATTTACAGCTTACATTTTTGTTTATTTCTTTTTTCCGATTTCCAAATTTATAATATATCCAAATTCATATTTCAAAATTGTCCTTCCATATTATCTTTCTTTAATTTCTTTTTATCATGTAGAGTTACGCTATTTTGAGAGAATAAGACAATGTACGATTTACTGTTGGTCGTAATTAATTAGCGATAATTAATTCGTTCAATTATGTAAATCACACTTCACCAGAGTACACCCGATAGACCGGACGCAATTCATAGCGCTCCGGATTTCTTTGTTCACAACTGTTTATAAACTCCAAATTAAACATGTAACATTGTAAATATTTAGTGTTTGGTAGTTTAGTAGTAGTGCTAGTTGTTTTTGTTTCTCTATTTCCTTTGTTTTCATGACTTCTTAACTTTTTTCTTTGTCCTGAGGAAGGGACAGGTCGTCCCGAAAATTTGACAATTATTATTGTTCGTGTCTATGGTCATTTTAGTGCTTTATATATATATATATATATATATATATATATATATATATATAATTAAATCATCTCAAGCATATCAAAGACCTGATTGGTCATATTAATATTGAATTAGAAGCAACTTAAGTTTGTGTTGATTCAATTTTGTTAAAATCATAACCCTGAGTGTAGAATTGGGCCACAATAGGCAATGAAAGTTTTAGATAAGTAGGAATTTATATGAAAAGATTTTAAAAACCTTCTTCTCTGAAGAATAGCAAAGCCACCGTTAGTCATATTGAAGCATCCCCTGGTAGTGTAAACTCAATTTAATTCAATGGCCCCTGTAGAAAGATTGGGACCACAAAGTTGAATCAATATTTTACATAGGAATATACATGTATAAAGGAGAGAAATCCGATGAAGAACATCAGGGCCAAAGTGGCTTAGTTGAGTGTTGTTACCCATCTTCTTGTTTAAATTAATACGTACACTACATTTTCCCTCACTGCAGATGCTAAGAGAGAAGCAGGATAAAACCAGCAAAATCCAATCTCCTCTGTTGCATATAAACTTAACTGGCTATTAAGAAGGTATTCAACACCATTAACATATTTTATAATTGTTAAAATTTCTCTTTGTCCCATTTTCATCATCAAAAGCCTGTAAGACATTTTGTAGCTAAATGTTTGCTATATTAATATGTTTTATGGTGTTATTAATGCAAATAAAGATGTTGTTTAACTTCATCATTCTGAAAATTCTATGCTTGGTTATCTTGTTCCACTTACATAAGAATGAAGGATTTCAAAAACTTCAGTTTAGACCTAATATACTTTGTGCATCATATATCAACATTGACGACAGACTGCGTAGACTGTACAATTTATTGAATGACGACAGAAACAACCAATAAAGCACGGCTGGTTTTTTTTTTTATTATTTTTATTATTTTGTAATTGATGGTCCATCTACAAAGTTGTTTCGTAATATATTTCGATATGTTGTGTCAGATGGAGATCCTCTAACAAAAAAATACTATAGTCAATTATAGTTTAATATAGTTAATTACAGATTACTATAGTAAATCAAAGTTGTTACTATAGTAAATTAAAGTTTTTAATTTAGTAAATCAAACTATTTTACTGTGGATTTCAGATTGTTATATTTTATGTTCTCCAATTCATACATGTATATTTTTTTTAATAAATGAAACTATTACTTGTATATTCAGATAATGTTCCAAAATTTTACATCACTGTTATCGAATGAAATAAATTTTATACTTTGAAATGTCACAAAAGTTCCAGAGTAAATTTTCAAAGTAAATCAAAGTATCAAAGTTTTTACAATAGTTAACTATAGTAAACTATAGTGAGGTATAGTAAACTATAGTGAACTATACTAAACTATAGTAAATTTTTGTTAGGGTCTTCCTGATCGTTTGAAGGATAAAGATGTAAAACACGTATTATGTCATGAATCGAGATTGAGTGTAACACAAAAGAATATCCTTTACCCAGTCAATGAACAATCTACAGGTACGTAGTTGTTACATTCCAGATTAAATTTGTCTTTCATTTACATCCTGACAAGAAATTCGTTAGAACAACAGTCTCATTTAACGGTTGGAGGAAACCTCCTGACCCCTCTGATCATTCAATTTTTGCCAATATTGATCGGATTAGAGAAATAGGAACAAGCACTGCGGACATTTGGCCAGTATCACATTTCCAGAAGCGGAATACAATAAAAATTGCAAGAAACTGGAAACATTTGATTGGTTGATTGATTGATTGATGTTCGAGAATTTCACAACAATAGAGACGTCCCCATATACCGGTGAAGGGTTTCAAATTTAGACCTTTATTCGGCACTCAGGGCCATTGAGCAATGAGGTTCTTAATCGTGCCAACGCCTATCGTGACACGGGGCCTCAGTTTTTAAGGTCTCATCCGAAAGACCCGCAACTTTCACTTCAAAGTACCGAGCGCTTGGCGAAGGAACAGTTGCTTTCTGTTTTTTTTTTTTTTTTTTCTTTTTTATCGACTTAGGTCAGTCGCGGCCGTAATTAGAACACACGACCTTCCGATCATGGAGCGAGCGCTCTACCGACTGAGCTACAGTGGCGGTCGGAAACACTTGAAGATCAGCTTGAAATTACCCTTGCTGGCGGTCAAACGGTATATCCTGAAGCTGTGAAGCATTTGAAATCAAAGAGAATGGAACCTACCTAAACTGATAAGTACTCCGAATATATTGAAAAGTAGAGGCAATCTATAGAAGGCATAAAAGGTATAACTAACCTTTTCTCCATACATCTTCATTAAGTGAGTTAAAGCTTTGAAAATCTTCTGATAAATTAACGCAATCTTCACCTTCATTTGACTATGCATTCAAATATACAAATATTCTTTATAAGTACTTAAGTGTTATATTGAAAAAAAAAGCTATAAAGATTGTATTTTCGTTTACTATATAATCAATGTGGCTTTTGAACCATGTTTATTATCACAAGATAGTGATATTTGAGTTGGAATTGCAAATCAAAAACCGTGTGTTGTTCACATATTATGCCTTTTTAATTTTCATTTTTTGCATACATAATTATACTTGTAGTTACATGGTGCATCATTCATCGCTTTATAAGAAACCCAATATGTAGCACAGTTTTCTGCTCCGCCGGCGTTATCTGGTTGCCCCTTTAACCAGTGGCTGTAATGAAGTTCCTCAGCCTTTGAAACCGATATAAACTTTCCTTCTTGTTGAACATCACTTGCGCCAAGCCAGATCTGAGGCGAATGACCTGTGAGATGACATTTAAATCTTAATCAATGTTCATAACCCTAAAAACATTTTTAACGGAATATTGTACGTTTTTTTTTTAAATAAATAATTTATATAAATAAAGATCAAAAGAAATAAAATTGAACATGTATTTTCTTTATTTTTAATAAAGGAAAAAATCAGATAAAGATTCTAAAATATTTTTCATTATTCATTTATTTTAGCAATAACAATACACGTGACACTTTGCTCTGACAGTGTCTAAATTATTATTAATTCGTACATGTATAATTATACCTCGTAATCGGACCTGGTTATCAAGCCATTTTTCTTCCATTGCGTTTTGAAGTTCCAACATTTCTGCGCCCAACAGATAACATGCCGACTACAATATGTTAAAAAAAAATCATTTTGTAGTGTTCAGTAATTTAGAGATGTAAAATTATGTGACATGATTAATTATCATTGTTGGATTTAGTCAGATAAAGAAAATTCTCCATTATTATTTTGACTTAAAAATAGCTATCCTGAGCTGCAAGAAATGTGTTAAATATATATAATTTTATACAAAAAAATCAATTACTCTGTATTTTCGACAATAAAGAAATGAAGCAGAGGTACTTGATAAGCATAACTAAAGGTACTGAAATGATTTTAAGTTTAAATTGAAAAAGGCTTATAGATGTTGATTTTAATCATACCATTGCCTCTCTAAATATAACCATGGATGTTGAAAAATAATAGCAACTTTTTTGGTAGGTGACCCAACCTTTTTCGCAGGTTGTCACCGAATCTGAAAGGAAAAGGTCAAAGGGAACTTGTATCAATCAGTAGAAAAACAAATCATCATCATTTGAATTCCTCTCATATGAATTTAAAGGTTATATATATGCCAAAAAAAAAAAAAAAAAATCACATGTTGCATACATATGTAAAACGTTTCTGTAAAATCATAAGTTAACCATATTTAATTAATTTTGATATGATGTCCATCATATTTATCTAGTGATTTAGACAATAGTTATCTGCCTACTTTTGATTTCTTTTTTTTTTTAATACAAGGAATAGTTGAAAATATTATTTTAAACTGACAACTTAATATATTCCATTTTATGATCTTTATAAAATTTTGACTCTTTGAAACATGTCCCCCTCCCCCCAAAAATGAATAAATAATGAAGAAATATAGGACCCCGAGACCGAAAAACATCATATTTTGGCAACTCGCAAGTTCCAGTAATTTAACACAGAATATACGTACACAAATGAATTGACCAGGGGTGAAGACTTCATTAATGTACATTACATGTATCTTGTTTGATAACAGTGAGTTTTGTAGCAATAAAGTTTCAATCTCTTCTTTAATTTGTCATCAAAATTATCACGGAATATACATACCCATTTGAATTTGACCTGGGATGAAACTTAAAATCATCAAGAAAAGTAGCTGATCAATTTTGAAATGCATTTTCTTCAAAATTTAAATGCTCCAACGCTTGGATAATTTTTTTCATAAATTGCTTATATTTAAAGCTAACAAAAATCAATGAAACTCATACCTGACTAGTTTATCATATAATTTACAATTTAACAATGTCGCCATATGTTTTGTCACCATAAGATAACGACTTATTTCTTCTTTGATATCAATTTCAAACACGTATTCATATTTATCATCTGAATTCATAGATTTATCAATAAAGCTGGAATTTAATGTATATTTAGCATTATTAGAAAGATATGTTTCAGTTTGAAGGACATAAACATGTTGATTTATAGCTAACATGATCATTAATTTCTTACCAGCAATTGAGTTAATTATATTTTTAAATAAGTTTGTTAACATTTCTTCAAAGCTTAGGGGCACACAGTTTAGATCTGTCTTATGATAAAACCATCTTAGAAGTGTTCAGGCTTTAAAACATTTGTCTGAAAAAAATATAGACGAAGCCTAACTTTAAACTGTGAATGAACACAAAATGAAAGGCGTCTCCATATGAGTGAAAAATTCTGGAAAGGGACGTTAAACAACACGCACACAAACAAACAACAATCAAACAAACAAACAAACAAAATGAAATGTCATGAAAGAGTCATATAGTTTTCAGTAACGAGTCGATATTATTTTTCAACTTTTGAGAAAATTATAACAATGAGGGTTTATGATTAAATGTATATATATAAAAGAATTTCGACCCGTAGCAACACACTACTTGTTTGTAAATACCAATAATGAAATTCAATTTCCTCTAAACTTTGTTTAATTTCAAGGCCCGATTCAAACACGAATCAACTCAAATTACGTTATTTAGACAAACTTTTGATTCTTTCATTTAGAGTGGTAAACACTTTCAGTTTTGGAAGAGTTTTTTTTTTTTTTTTTTTTTTTTTTATCAAGCCATTGGTTTAAGTCTTGAGTAATTGCTTGGCAACTTTGAAGTGCTAGGAGAGGTGATGAAGCGATAATACTCTCTATTTTGAAGATTTAGAATCTCATGAATGTCCTGATAAACTATTCAATACAAATTAAAAAAAAAAAAA